GATATGGACAAAGAAGATCCTTGAAAAATCAACTTTCTTTCTGTTTCTACTGTAACCACCAGAATCAGCTGTAACGTAAGAGTGTAAAACTGTGAGTACGGTGCAAAGATCTCCCTAGTACAGGGACACAGCTCAAACAGGTCAGTAGCAGATGCAAAAATATAAGAAATAAGGCTTGACAGTATACTGCCACCTAATATTTGGTAATCAGGCTAAAGATTTCCTATGACATTTAGACCTCCACAGACCTCCACAGGGTCATGCATTTTCTGAAAAAGTGTTTATTTTTCTTTGAAACTACTACCTGGTAATTTCTGTAGGTGTTCCTGTAATTCTATATGAAAAAAACCTTCCATTTAGTAACGAATTTCTTTTCATCTTCTCTATGCAATTTATGTTACCATGGGTTTATATTGTCCCTTTGACAGAGTTGCCAGGTTGAAAGTCCCATTGTAGTTTGTTTGTTCTAGTTGTTAGCCTGCTCATGAAAGGAAGCTGCTCTATAACTATTATCATCTTTGTAGTCCTTTTTTTGTTCCTTTTGTTGTATATCCTTTTTCAAACTACTCTTGCATCTGACACTTGCCATGTGGCAGTACCAAGGATTCAGACAGAGCTTCCTGTTTCGTTCTCTACATCCTTTCTAGTACTCTGTCCTTTTGGAGCACCCAACTGAGCAAAGTGCATTGAGCTCTTTGTAGCAGGAGCTCATACGTGGGCCTTCTACAGCAGGCAACAGCTGTCTGGCTGTCTAGCCCACACTGTTTGATTTGTGCATAGTGTTACCACCCTTGAGTGGCATGTGTAGGTAGACCACTGTGAGAGGAAGCATGAAAGTGATGTCAAAACTGTCAAAGTTGAAGGTCCAGCATAATATAATCTTAATGGTGAGACAGCCAAACATAAGGATGCAATAAGGATGCAAAAAATAAGGAGCAATGGGGGACATAAAAGGACAAAAGCCAAGAAATGGCAAGTGAGAAATATAGATTTGCCCAGATTCAAGGCTTTTTCAAGGAATGTTTCTTCACATTGTCATCTCACAGGCTTCGTAAGTAAACCCATAGAAAGCCACAGTTGTGGAAACTATGAAACTTCCAGATGTATTTCTTACTGTTTATGTGTTCATGCATTCATCAGGGTGTCTTTTCCAAGTCTCAGACGGGAAAAGTAAGTGTTTTATTTATGCCAAGAGAACAGCTCTATTAGCTGCAATCCTTTGTGAGGACCCACATTTTTCAGAAAGCATGAGTATTCAGGGCTTAGTACTGACTCTTGAACAAATACATTGTCAGTGCCAAATGACAGTGAGATGGACTAAAAGTTCCAAATTGCATGTAGCAATGCATTACAGCAAAGCATTACAGCTTGAAATTATGACCCATTGTTTCATGCAATTCATTAGCAACATAATTCTACACCAAGACGAAGCATATGTCTGGTTTAGGATGCTGTGAGGAGGGTGTGCAAACGCTCCAATAGACAAGGAAGAGGAAATACTAACAGCCCTCTGGCCATTCTGGCACTGTGGAGGAGACATGTCCTTGAGCAATTGTTAGAATGAAGTGAAACATGAAAAGACACTCAGAATCTCTCTTGTGTCTTGGCTTCTCTCTTCGGAGAAAAATATACGTGGGAAGTTAACAGTCTCCTATGTACCCTGCACATATACACACAGGACATAATTCTCTATGGATCACAGAACAGCATAAATTTTGTAGTTCCATGGCTGTTCTGTGTAATACCAGCTCTTTGATACTTTTCCTGAGATCAGTAGTTGAATGATGGGATCAAGGAATCATAGAATCACAGAATGGTTTGGAGAGTATCTTGTTCCAACCTCCCTGCCATGAGCAGAGACATCTTCCACTAGACCAGGTTACTCAGAGCTCCATCCAACCTGGCCTTGAACACTTAGGATTGGTAAAGCTGGAGATTCAGTCAGGTGTCTAACTGCAGAAGAATCAAAGGCAATTACTGTCTTGATAAGTGATTTAAGAGACTGATTCAAGGTACTTCATAGTTGCTTGTATATGGAGATGGTTTATTACTCTATAGGTGCATGATGTGTAGTAGGAAAAATCAGATAATATTTTGCATAGTTCAGCAAAAGCATTGTAGATATTTTTGACTAGTGCATAGTCTCATCATTAAAGTGATTGTACAGTGGACTCTTTCTGGACAGAATGACTTCTAAGCCCCCAGAGCATGGGACTGTGACTTGCAGAACAAACTCACTCACCTCATTGGCCTGATGATTAATTTCACTAAGATTTGACTGCTGCAGAAGCAGGCTCAGAAGCCTGTGGAAGCAACGACACAGTCAGTGTGCTGTACTCCTGACTAAACTTGAAAAACTGACAGATTTTTAAAAAACAAAATGTGCAATTTTGTGAAAAATCAGTATCAGTGATGGGCACAGGTCAGAATCTTTGGTCTAAGCTTTGTCATGTGAGGAAAACAAACAGGACTGTGTAGCTTACTGTAACAACGAAAGTTTAGTGCTGGGAATTAAAAGCAGATCCACTAGGAATAATTCTTGTGCTGATTGCCAGGCTAGAATCAGGGCGTGTAATACTATACACATGTGCAGTTTTTGGTAGCTTAGCAATTTACTGTCAACCTTTTTTATAATGTCTTAAACTAACAGAAATGCCAGCTTCTGCAAGGATTTTTTCACTCTATTTAACTCTTGAAGTAATGTGATGTAGTGTACACATTTGCGTGTATGTGTGTGTATACAATGCTTACGGTATATTTACACACACAAACCCTAGTATTTTACAAGGCCTCACAGTATGTCTCTGCAATAGGGCCATTATTATGGTATAAAACAGAGCAATGCATGGGCTCACATTTTACTGAATATCGAACTACAAACACTCCCCTCTGGTGGAGGGAACAGTAACAATAAAGTACTTACATGAAATATTATTCAAGTGCAATAATATATTTAACACTTCATGGATTTTACTTTTCTCTTCCTTCTGGTATCCTGTGAAGATGTTCTGAAACCACTATAAGTTTGGCAAATATGGTTGTGTTTTATAGTAGGAGGCTAAGTGTTTGGATCATGCACATGGTTGGACCATGGAAATGGAAAACACCATACTGTTACAGGCTGTAACGAAGCCAAATAGCACACATCCTAATATGAGTGCACAGTTCTTATGATTCTAGCAAGAGGAAGGATATATCCTAGGGGATCATTGTGCAATTCTGTGGCTCATCTGGAGGTTGTGAATTTGCTAGAAATCTTCAAAACATGGACATTAAAAAGGCATGCTCTTTTGCAAGGAAATTAAGATGATGAGGTGTAAAGGAAAGAAGTCTGATAAATGTACAGAGAACACACAGACTAATGTATACAACCCTTCATTTATCCCCATGCATAGGAGACGCAATGAAAAACTTTGCTGCTTTTCCTCAGGTCAATCTTCAACAACTTTCAGTATATTTTCTGGATTGAACTGTGCTCAGGTGCGTGGATCAGATCAAGTTGAGAATGTTGCATGTCAAATTTGTTCTCCCCTACCAGTAAGAAAGAACTAGATATGTAAATTATTCAAAAGAATAAGCTGCCATTCTGCAGTTGAAAAGATTCTTCATTGTTAACACCTTCTTTGGGTGCCAAAAGTCCAAAGTCAGGCTTTTTTAATGCAGAAAATACCTAAAGAGTGATCGTTGGGTAGATCCCGGTGTAGGGATTTTGCTTTGACTTCAAATACTTCTGCATGTGGATACAAATAATTGTAGAAAAGAGATGTTACACCTCCTTTTCTGAATGGAGTCATACTATAGGAACTCTGAAAAGGACAACACTTTAGGATTGCTGTGATTAGTTTGGTAAATGTTTGTAAAAGGGAAGAGAGATTTTGTGGTTGTTTAGCACAATCACTCAAAATCTCAGAAATTCAGTGCCTGAAAACAGGCCCTGGTAAAAATGGACTACTGAGCAGAAAGAAAGTGAGATAACCACAATATGCTTGTAAAACCCATTTATCACATAGTTTTAGAATCTGATACAGGGCTCAGTGGTCCAACTCCAGATATGATCAATGAAACCACTGTATGTGAAGGAAATCTAATTCTTTGAATGCAGAACCTTCATCAACAACAAACTTCAGCTCATTTACGTTGTAAAACCATTATGGCAACAGAAGTGCTGCTATTTAAATATACAGACACCCAACCATGCAGCTGAGATTTCTCTGATATCTGCTCTTAAAGGCATAGATCAGGAACAGATTCTCTTTCCACCTTGCCTGTTAGGCTCTGTGGGATGCACTGAAGCACATAAATCAATTATCAAATCAACACATAAGTTGTCTCTATCTTTCCATGTGGTTCACATGCTGCCTCCAGCACATAAGGTTTTAGTAGTGGACTGCCAGCTTTCAGACTTGGCTGAAAAAGCATTTCATAGCTGACCACTGCATGTTCCCTTTCAGCAATGATGTAGGATTCAAGAGAGTGACAGTGACCACAATGGAAAAGCCCTACCCTTTGGTGCTCCATGTATGTGTTCTGGGCATGGGGCAAAACAGTGAGAATACAGAGGAAAAGGAATTTATAAACTGGTAAACTGCTGTGTAGAGCAAAGAAAGGTCTTCCTGTACCCATGGGGAATGTGAAAAACATTCAAGGAATCCAACGTGCTGCTGGGAAAGCAGACTACTGTTCCCTTTCAAGTAGCAGCATGGCCATGTTGTACAAACATTGCCTTCTTTCTGTGTTGGCTTTGTTTAATGATAGTGATCTGTACTTTTGCAGAAATCTCAAACTGTTCTCTCCAAGTGATGCATGAAAAGGAATGATAATGTGTAAAATTAATAAAGCTAGTAAAAAAGGCTGGAGAGCAGATCAGCAGAAATGCGCAGGGTCTGGGCTGGTATGATATGGTGACAGCAGCAAAACTGTAGACTCAGTGATTAAGTCACATGAACATTTTGCATCTACTGAATATTTTACCTGTCTCTAATGTCTTCCCAGCCCTCTTTACTTAGGAGAGTTTTTTGAGTGAATTTATTCAGATGTACAACTCAAAATTTGTTAAACTTTCCTATTGTCACAGGCTGGAATGAGACAAAGAGAATCTTTAAGAGTTCTTGTGAAGACACTTCATAGTTTTTACTCCACTTTCAGTAAAAGTAGTTAAAAATGAGCCAGACCACTAATCCTCAACTTCCCCTTTATAAGAAGGGACTCTCAAAGAAGTTGTGGTGTGGAAAATTTTTCTCATGTTTGCCATTCTACTCAGAGGAGAAGTCCAGAGAATTACCTTCTATTTCATATGAGGAGGTAGCAGAAAGGTAGTTGGGTGGGGGAAACTCAGGGTTTCAACCTCTGTTATAATATTTTTACCCCCCTCCAGCTCTTGTGATCTTAAACCAGGCTCCTCACTTTACTTGGCCATCAATCTCTGGTACACAAGTGTGGTACAATGTTTTTCTTCCTCTCTACCCTCTTCATGATAACACTGAATAAAGCAGCAAGTCACACACAAGTTTAGCTGTCACAGCTATTCCTCCTGACATGGGCTCTCCTTAGGTTGCTGACTACCTGTTGAGATTCAGCCAGTAAAAGCTGTGGGACCCTGGGACATACCTCACGTCAGGCTCTGCAGTTGCAGCGTGTAGTGGCAATCTCCCATTTTTGTCAGGTATGTTCTGCTTAGCACCGTTCCTGAGCAAGCTGACACAGCCTTCCAGCCAGCCCTAAAAAGCAAGAGCATGTAAACAGGAAAGGGAAATCCATCAGGCCAAATCTTTTCTTGTTGGTGCTGGCATTTGTGTGTGACTGCAGCCTTTCTGACAGCAGAGGAACAGGCCTTTCTTTCCCCCAGTTGAGGTTTCTCAGCACTGAGAATGGTTCCCTTTAGAGCCCAGGTCTCAAACTAGCTTGGTCATTCATTTCTCTGATAAGGTGAGGTGTTTCATTTACACTGTACTTTGTTTTTTTCTGCAGCTGTGGCAAGTACTGACTGCCTAAACAGTGATTAAAACACTGCTAATTCCTGTATCACTAGTAAATGCTACACATATTCTTGCATGGGAATACAATTATGCTAGATTAAACCAGGAACATGCACATTTAATCTCATTTCTTTTGTGAGATCTTAGCAGGGATGGCAAATCACTAGTAAAAACCTCAGAGTGTGGTCTTATGAACGTTGTTGCAAAAGTTTGTATTTGTGACAATGTTAGACTGAAAGCAGCACCAAAACAGACGGGATGAATCAGTTCTTGGACTAAAACCCTCTACTGATCACCCTAGCATAAAAGCAAGTAAACAGTCTGGTTGTAAGTTGTAACTGCATAAATCTTTCAGTCCCAGGGAAATCAAGCATCGGTTGGAGTGTTTTGCTAAAATCTGCACAGGCAGTTGGTAAAGACCATTCCCTCCTATATGAGCTATATTGGATTAGCATTACTAGCATTTTTATGGAAAAGGTGTGGAATGGTGCAATCAGTACATGCCTGTTGGAGCTCTTAGTGGAAGTACAAGACCACCAAATCCTGCATGTGATTGTGACTGTGCAGCTCTGCTGAATTCAGTTCTGGACTGACATGTCAGTCTGGACAGACATCACAGCCAAATGCTCCCTATATCTCTGGTTATATCCCTCATAGAAACAGAAATGGAAACTTCTAAGCCTGGGTGGTTTAAATCTATTCCAGTAATTTCTTCTTTTTCCAAAGCATATTTTTTCTCCTCCAGGAAAGGAGGAAGGAAAAAAGGAGCATGACACTAATTATGGAATTTTTTAGAAATATCTTGCAGAGGAAATGTTTTTTCTCAAGTAAGTGTGGCATGCTCCTTGCACTGGATGAGACTGCCTGTTTTGCTATTTTCTATGCTTATTTTCAGGCTAAGCATTGCAAAGCTAAGCAGAAGCATTGTTTTTATCCTGAATTTTCAGGAAGAAACTAGATGCAAGGGATGTCATTTAATTAGGCTGCCACAGGACCTGTTTAAATGGGTTGGCAGTCATCCAGCCATAACTCATACTATGCAGCATGGGTGAAAATTCCTTCTTCCTGTCCAAATAATAATGGAAGCCCACTCTGCTTAGCTAACTTGGTCCCCATTCTCTCTCTGAAACCTGAATTACCTTCTGTAAGGAGTAAAAGACCAAGGAAGAGGACCATCCTTGTTGCTTCAGAAAGGTGTGCCACATCTCCCTTCCCAAACGTCTCAGTGAGGTGTCTGCCCCTACTGTCACTTGCATGTAGGCTGATCAGGGGATTAGATTGCTTATGATCTGAATATTTGGAACTTGCAGCACCCTGAACTTCAGTTCTCAGCCTGGCCACGCAAAGTCCAGCACTACAGTGAAAAGAAGCAATGCCCTGGCTTATGTGGTGTGCAGGAACACCAGCCTGCTGACCACCAGAATTTGAGACAGGAATGCCCTCACTGGAGCATAAATATCTGCTGCTGACTGTCGGAGGGAAAGAAGTTAATCTGCATATTAAGAACAAGAGGGGACTTTCCAGTGCACAGAAAATAAGTGATTTTCTTGAAACCGCACAGAGGACCCTGGATCCTACTGAGATCCTCATACCACACACTGATTTTACAGCCTGAAAGAGAAAGAACACTCTGACAGGAGTCCTGATCCTCTTCCAATAATCATTGCTCCAGCTTTGCATCACAGTAAAGTTTCAAAACCAATTCCACTGTTGTCTAGAACGAAATGTTTTGAATTTTTTTTTCCTTCTGTAGTATAAACAGAAATCTCTTTTTGGTCTGCATATTTACTCTCTTCACTCCATCCTTCTCCCCCAAGTCTTGGTAGCAGATAAGTTGCCAGAGATAAACTGATACGTCCATAGGCATCTTGAGTATTAATATTTGCTCCCATCTTCAACAGAAGCTTCACTGTATCAACCTGGCATCCTGACACAGCATGCATCAAAGGGGTGCAACCTGGGGAAGAAAGCCAAATTTTTTTATAATTTTAATTTTGTCAAAGCCATAAGATACAGTTTCTTATTTGCTAATGTTAACACTGGCAAATTAACAAATTCTTCCTCTGGCAACTGTCCAACAGTTGTACTCAGCTTTTTGTAAGCAGGAAGTAACTGCTATGCCACTTACTGACCACCAAGTTTAAAAAGAGTGTGACTTCATTAGCAAAAAACTCTTCCTCTGGAGGAAAAAGCGCTTTTCTGTTGACAAGTTCCCAAAATGAGCTTTTGGGTTTTTACACCATTTTGGACGCTGCTAGTCTTCAGAATGACTAGTAGCCAGATATGGTGCTTGGCTAATCTTCTCAAATGCCAGCTTTGTTCTTTCCCTGTGTATTCAAAACAATTATGAAATCAAGCCCTGTCCCTTGCAAAGGTATATGTGTGCCAGCTGGTGCTTTATGTAGACAACAACTTAATTTGAACACTGGATTTGTTCTAGGATATTTTATTTTCTGTTTTCTTAAGAACTTTTTTATTATTCTGCAAACAATTTCTATGCTGTAAAAAACCTGAAATCCACATTCAAACCTAATACTTGACTCTCATCACAAAGTATTATGATGTCATTTAATTGCTTCCTCTTCCTTCCAGTCTGTTAACTGCTGAAAAACAGCAAGAAATTTTCCTGCAGAATCTAACAAACCTATTTAAAATTACTAAGATGGGAATATAGAAGTTAACATGAAAATTAGAAACTATAAGACTATTAGAAACTTCAGACACAACTGAAGAGTAATTATTCTTACTGGATTCAATGAGACTGCTGAGGAAATGTGCTACTCAACCTGAGGTCACACAGACTCTGACAGACGTGCAGGATATGAGCTGTGTGTTTTGTATTGCACAACTCGTCTTTAGTTACATTTGTATGTACGTGTAGCAAACAAGTTAATTCTAGAGATGAAATACTTCTATTTGCTGATCAGCCCATCTCCACCCACTCCACCCACCCTTTGGATCTAGTCCCTCTCCCCTTAAAGATCCAGACTGAGAGTATTTTATCTTGATTAAGCTTTTCCCTACTAACCAGTAAATGTTTTAATGATAACAGTTAGAATGTTTGCTTTAAAGTGTAAAAAAAAAACCAGTACCTTAGTAAAAACTGTTTGAGATTAGAATAGACAGTGTTCATATAGAAGAGACTGCAATTAAAAAAATACTTTTGATAAACAAAGTCTTTCTTGAGAACAGCTTCCAGGGATCTGTGGCTTTAATTCACTTGGGAAATAGATGCATATAAACCTCAGCCAATGTACAAGAACTAAGCATTAAATAGTAACCTGAACACAAAATGACCATAGTCTCACAGATAAAACAGATTATGTAGATAATTGCACACTGTATAACCAACCATTTGGCAAAAAATTACTTGACAAAATCATTCAAGCTGTGACTGTACACATACTTTTTAAGTACAAAGACTGTAATCTCCTACTTCAGAAATGTGTAGAATGTATGGCTTTTGGCTTTGATAAAAATATTTCTTTTCCTTCCCTGAAATGACAACAATTTCTCAGCACCTCCCTAAATAAGATAAACTAATGGTACCGTCTATTTATAGCAAAACAGCTTATTTGTATCCGTATAAAAATTGCAATTACAATTACATGCAGAAAGAAATCTCCAAACTGTGCATTTCCAGTGGAATAACTCAAATTTATTCTACTACTAAATATAATCTTCTGCACACAAAAATCAGGATGAAAAATTGGAAAATTTAATTGCAAGCTGAAGCAACAAGTCTCCTGAGAACAAACCCAGCCTTCATTTACCCTCTCTGTCACAACACTCAGGGATAGAAGGATCTTCCCAAATCACTGCAGTCAGTGTGTTCACGTCACCATTGGCTGCTGCTTGGTAAACCACAGTCAAGTCAACCTCTTCTGCTGCATCAGCTGCAGAAAAGGAGCATGTCCATGAGTAAGCAGAGAGCAAGTACAAAAACGATAAACAGTGAAAATAATGACACATCTCACTGAGTTTTAATGACCATGTAACTTGGGGTGGAACAAAGTGTATCTAAACATCACTGTGGACTTTATTAGTCATCTGGAACTTGATTGTCACCATAATGTCTTCCAAAAACTTTCAGACATGGACACTGAAAGGACTTAAGAAAACTTCTGGAAAGTTTCCACCTCTTATAAGAAATTATACTAACATTAATGTAACAGGACGTGAAAAACAACGAAGTAATAACTGAACTAGCTTATAATGTTGCTGGCTACACTCTTATGACGGAGGAAGAAATCACGACCCAGGTGTTTTCAGTTTCAATGTTATCCTTGCACCAGTCAGAAGACCAAGGCTTTTCACTTCCCTGTGCTGTCCAAGGGAATTCTCTTCTTAGAAGAGTGAACTTCTGGCAACAGTAGTTTGTGTTGATTATTTCTGCAAAAATGAAAAATGGAATATTGCATGGAACCCAGGATAAGTTTATTTTGTTTGGCAACTACAGTGTGAGTTAATATTTAAACCAATGCCTTGCAGGACCTGTTCCCGAACGCTCCTCAGATTTTTCTTTCTAGAGAAATTAATGTGATAATTCCTTCTTTGCTTGCAGACTGGTCATCCTATGTTCCACATGGCTACATCTCCTTTGGCTTCAAGTGGACTATTAAGCTGTTAACTCTAGGAGTCAAAAGAGTTAATTTTTTGGTGCTGGATCAAGTCAGACATACTGGTAAAATGCTCTAGATATGTATATCTAGGTCAGACACAATTTCATGTTTCTGATCTCTATTAATTCAAAAAGAAGTACAGCTGCAGCGAGCTCAGCTGTTCACAGTGGTTGAGGGTCTGTTGTGGTTTAACCTCAGACAGGAACTCTGTCTGGAGCCCTTGTTCACTCAGTCCTTGCCCTGACCCTGCCAGGGTGGGAAGGAGAATCAGAAAAAGGTAAATTGGTGGGTTGAGATAAGAACAGTTTAATAACTGAAATAAAGTAACATATACTAACAACAACAACAGCAATAATATTAAGTAATTGTAATGAAAAGGAGGGAGAGAGAGAGAGAGAGAATGAGAGAGAGAGAGAAATAGAGAGAGAGGAATAAAAACAAAGAAAGGCAAGTGATGCACAATACAACTGCTCACCACTTGCTGACTGATGCCCAGCCATCCCCCCACTTTATACACTGGACATGTTGGCCTGCGGTATGGAAAATCCCTTTGGCCAGTTTGGGTCCGATCTCCTGGCCATGATCCCCTCACCTCTTGCACTCCTGCTTGCTGACACTGAAAAGTCCTTGATTTAGGATGAGCAGTACTGAGCAACAACTAAAGTTGTTGTGTCACCAACATTACTCTTTTACTAAAAACAAAATACAGCACTGTACCAGCTTTTAAGAAGAAAATTAACTCTATCCCAGGTGAAACCAGGCCAGGGTCAGAGCTACAGAATATATAATTTGTCCAGTCGCTGCACTGCCTTGTTAACAGGAGAAAGTAAAACTGACATCTAAATCACACTAGAGAGTTGATCAAAGGAAAGACAGATAAAGTGACTGGTGACTTATCAGTACTGTTCTATCTTCTGGAGATAGCATGACTATGTAAGCTGTGCAGAAAAAATGGAGACAGTTTAAACAGAATTTGAAAAGTTTGTATAAAGTCTTTATCATAATCAAATAATACATTATTCTTAACGCATTGATATAATATTTTAAACATTGTCATACATATTTTGAGTGATCTTTAAATATTATTGTAAAGCATTAGCCACACTAGTCACATTGTGATCAGACGTTGCCTCAGATGAACCTGCATGAGATCTGTTTTGGGATTTACAGCTTAATTCCCGCATGTGACCTTCTCTCCCTGTGGTGCAATCAGCACTCTGGACTTCAAAATTTGGCTGCCATGGAAACACAATCTGCTCTTACTCTGGAATAGGTTAGTCTGTCAAAGCTGGAGCTCTGGTTGTGGGCTTTGGAAAATTAGAAAGCTGATGTCAATTCTGCCTTTGCCACAGATTCCCTTTCCATTGCTCCTCAACTAAAGAGAACCTAATTCTTTTCTTTCTTCTAACTGGTATTTTAAATTACAGATTTCATAAAATTTGTGAATAAAAATGTTAACTTGATTTTTTATTCTACTGAGGAGTCTATTGCTTAAGAAAGCATTCATTTGGCTCAGAAGATTTGTCCTTTGTGCCTGGGAGACCAGGAGAGACTAAGAGTCATTACCTCTGGAGAGTCATCATCAGTGACCAGTATATGAAAAAAAGAAGTAACTTTACCACAGGACCAGTTAATATTTCCTTATCACATCAGACCTGCAGACACCTCTCACAAATGGTAAATTCAGCAAAACCATGTTAGTAACAACCTCAGGTCTGAACTAGTCCCTTACTTGAAGAGAGGTGTAATTTGGGCTGGGTGGAGGCAAGGAAACAGGACAGAGGTTGACTGCTTGTGTTGTTCCTCTTGACTAGTCTCTGGAGGTACACGGGGGGTGCCAGCCATAAGCACCAACACAGGTCCTCCCACAGTTGCATGTCGTGTACAGCTGTGCATGGTTACTGTCTGGGTATGGTACAGAAAAGATGCTGCTGGCATTGGGAAAGAAACCATCAGATGTACTGAGACAGTGAATCAAAGGGGCACTCACCTCCTTTGATGCATTACACATTTTGTACTTTTTTTGCCTTGTAAGTACTGTTATATCTTCCTGTTGTGTGTCAGGAACAGAGAAATCCAACCACAAAATGAAAATCTCTATCTCCTGAGCATTGCTTACCTGGAGGGTGGTATGGCAGGAAGATGAGGACATGGATGCACACCTTCACGTGGGTCTCTGACTGCCTCTGCCCTTTATCATCTAGGTAAAACCGAAAACACCTCCCCTGTGCCTTTGCTTATGTTAGGCTGAATCTGTTTTCCCCAGAGCAATTATCCTTCTGTATGAGGAGAGGAAGCAAAACGCTAAATGAATGGATGGATGGATGGATGGATGAATGAGTACATTTTCCCCATGCCTGATCTTGCAGAACACAGGCTCCATTCCTGTTAAGGGATGGGGGCATGAAGCCACAAGGATTCACATTTCCCCCCCAAGTCCTAGCTGTCAGAGCAAGGAAAGTCAGGTGGACTAGGCTGCCACCCTGCTGGCAAGGGAGCCTGGGCCAGGAGGAATTGATGAGTGCCCATATTATGCATCTGATATAAAGTAAGACTGATTCCTAATTTCACTAATTCCACAATTTCCAATGGGTGTCTTTAACATGACCCATATGGCTTTGCATGGTGGGTGAGGAGGAAGACATATATAGTCTTCTGATGCTTCACATGAAAGGGAGCAGAAAATGCCAGGAGGACTTGAATGTCATTTATGCTGGATGCACTTGGTTCCAGGTGACACAACATCTACCATTTCATCTTCCTCCAGCTCACCTTGTCAAGGAAGGAAAGAACATAGGCACAAAGCTCACGGGCCATTTCTTTTAGAAGACACCTCCCTGGACAGAAGAGGAGTGGTTCGGAAAGTGGGCATTTTGCAGAAGGCAACAGTTAGGTACTGAGTGCTTGCATCCCTCGCCCACTCTGTGAGCTTACCCTGCCAGGGGGCTTGGCTGTGGCTGGGGCACCAGCACCATGTGGCATAAAGGGACTGTGAACGCCAAATGCCTGATCCTCCATCTTCAAATATGCTAGAGTTAACTCCATTACTATCTTGCAATTCTATAAATGCCAGTCCCATTTCAGATACATTTTACATTGTATTTTTGAAAATTGCTGTGCTACTGGTGAAAGGAAGCTGTCAGTCAGCTTCAGGAAAGCAGAATGTCCAACTAAGAGCCTGCATATAGAGAGAGGGAGAAACTGTAGGCTGACACAACAGCAGTGTAGAAAGGTCTGGAAGGAAAGACCAAATGACATATGGGGTTGTGGCATCTTTTGTAGCTAAAATCCTGGGAAAGAATCAAAGTTAAAAGCCAATCTATTTGAAATAAGCTGCAGTGTTTTAAATGTGTGTCATTTCTTCAAGACAAAGCAGCTATCTTTTGATCAGAAAAGGGGGTATACAAAGAGAGACACAATGATCACAGGATTCAGAACAACGAAATTATGCTGTTTGTGATATTAATTCTTCTCTGACTGTTCTATGAAGAAGGCATGGGTTACACAATTTCTGATGTCAGCTGATGTGTTGTTTTACAAAGTGCATGTTAGATGTATATAAGTGCATGCTTTCTGGTGCATTGGATTTTTAAGGTGTAAATAAACTTGCCAGAGCTTGACAATGGCTGATTTAGAACTTTCTAAAACACAAAGTACAGAAAACCAAAGACAGGATAATAGGATATTTTACGTTCCTTGTGAAGAAGAAATATTTATGTATGTAATTTACTCCCCTCTCTCTCTCATAAACCCTTGTCTCCACCACTAGCCTTATGTGATTTCCTACACTTTGTTATCAGGACACAATATCGGGCAGTTTGTTTGGTTTCAGCCCATCAGTGCCAACGGTCAGTGGGGGGTGGATGAGTGCAGTTTTTGGAAACTGTAACTCATTCTTTAATATTATGGATTTATGGAATTTTTAACAAAGTAATAATCCCTGTCTGTGCCTGGCTGTGCATGTACCAGTGCAGGCCTTTGTCTAGCTTCTCTGTTTAACTGGTAAACACTTGAAGCCAGGAACAGCACACATTTTCTTAAATGCACTGAGCAGTATTAAGAGGGAAGGGGTTTCTGGTTTGGGTACTGCTTGCCTACTGTAAGTCCCATGTTGCTGTTATTATTGTTAAGTATTATAAGATATTAATGAGCAGTAGTATAGGATGTGTTGCAAAGAGACAGTATGATTTTCAAGCCTGGAATGCTGGGTTTTTTTAATCTGTAGCAAGGAGATTTTTCTGATGTGTGTGGTGGAGAAAAAAAGGTTTGTGGGGAGGGTTGAATTATTTTTTTGGTCCAACAGATATCAATCTAGTCTGTTTGAAAGCTAGTTTGTATTATTCCATTGTTATAAATTGCTCCAATGAAAGACATTCCCCTTCCCCCTGCTAAAAAAATTATGTCTGCTTAAATCAGTATTGTGCCACAAAATTAAGATGGTATTTAGATAAAATCCACCATACACTGTTAATTTTGAACAGAACACTATTTGCATGATAACCAATGAGTTCAATGTCCCACTGCTGTGTGTTTTATGCTTCTGCTCCCCATCCACCTCCCATGCAGCTAGCTGGGAAGGCAAGCAGTAAGCCACCAATCACCTAATGAGCCAGCATTTCTGCAGTGGTGGTGAAGGGGATATGGTGAATTTATCTGGAGGATTTGCTATGAGTAGAGTGTGACATGGACTGGAGATGATGCTGGACAGGAATTAGAATGAGTCAGTGTGGAGAGTGGCCTGGCAGGAGGAGGGGCTGAGGATTAGGACCAAAGGCAACAGGCAGATGTTGCCTTCTAGCTCTCTCACTTCTATCTGGATAAGCTGGTTAGGGTCAGTAGCCTCCTGCATTGCTCTCTGCCCCCTAACTATCTGGAGACTTGACTTCTCCTTCCCCAGGCCTGGTGATATTCCAGCCTTATTCCTCGCACGACTTCCATAGCTCCCTGGCAGCCATCTCCATGGCACTGAGCATGCAGGGTTTCCTCTCTGCCTCCCTAGCCTGAGCCCTGCTGGGTCAGCATGTGGCACAGGGAATACTCCTAGTGCTGCACAAGTAGAGGTTGAGAATGGCTGTATGGAGCTGCAGAAGCTCAGTCAGCTGCACACCTATGTCCTGCTGGGGAAAATGCTCCTTATGTCATTCACAAGCTTAGGAGTACCTGTCTCTATTCCTGCAGTACCCCTTCCACCATTGCACTTCCCTGTCTCCTTTATACTTGCTGATAGTACGTTTTTATCTCTTGTCACTCAGTTTTGCTTCCCACCCTCCCCCCCCACTACATGGGGGTGGGTCCCAGCTGGATTGGTGTAAACCAGTACTCCCAAGATTCGCTCAGGCTTCAAGTGCTGCTGTGGCTGAAAGGTAGCCACAAAACCACCACTTTCCAAGGGCTATACTTACTTTGGGTTCACCAAAGAAGTGTAGGCAAGCACAAAAGTACAACCTGTGGGACCTGGTTGCCCAGAGGGCACCACAGTATCTGTCTTCGTCCTGCCCTGCATCTTTGTTCCACAGCCAGCGCCCTCACTGTGGGGCCAGTGTGGCCATGTCAGCTTGGACATTTTGCAGGTGCGCACTGGAAACTGTGCCCACTACACACACAGTATTTGGCAAGTTGACTTAAAAAAGAATTTGTGGCAACATGGATGATCAGTGACAGTCTCATGCTTTCAGAACATAAAAAGGATGCCACTACACTTGTAATACATCAAGCCGTAAAACATAAAAGCTTATACTGGCAAATAAAGACACAACACTTAACTTCAAAACAGACAACAAAGATACATCTGTATTTCCATAGCAACCTTACAATGTAGAAGATCTTCACGTTAGGGGACTTAATGATATACAAAATGCGCAATTATGGTAATACTCACCTATACAGCTTAGATTTGCCAAAACAAAGTCGATCACTTGTCAGCACCTAATCCTTTTAGTGTAGACTTACGAATATCAGCTATTGTTAAATTTTTACTCTATTTTAAACTGCTGTTTGCAAGTACTGCAATAACTTTTAATATATATCCATAAGAGGATTAATACACGATATAAAAATATATACATCCATCTCTCAATGCTAAGCATAAGAGTAATTACATGCTGTTGCTATTCTGCTGAAAATTTTATTTTTAAAAATCACTGTAGGCAATAGACTGAAATATCTGTCTGAAACCGATGGAAAAATTCCTTTATGTGCAAACAAAATAAAACTGTTCTTCTCCAAAAATTTGTGTTATTCATTCTGTCAAGTAATCTTAGTACATTTGCATGGGACACATGAGAGGACCAAAGGATTTTGAAATTAGTAGCAGGTGACTTACCTTTGTGCTGATCAAACACTGATGATGAACTGAAATCCATTGTGATCTATCTCATTATTTACAACCAGACCAGACAAATGCCATCTCCAGGGTTTTGCGGGAAGAATCTCATGTATTACAGTACACGGTGCAACGACAGCTGTTGCCAGTCTTCTTGTCAGAGAATCAAACTCGCTTTTACGGCTGCGGGTTGTAGACAAGGCAAGAGTCTGATGGAAACACTGTATGCTGTCATAGACCTTCCTAAAAGGACGTCCCTGGAAGCTTAACTGAGATTCTGAAAAATGTCAGGTCTTCAGCGAGTGGCACTGCCTACGAGCAGCCGAGAGATGCTGCGGCTCCCCAAGCTCCAGCAGCCGAGAGCTGAGTGAGCGGGACTGGGCTGGCAGACAGAGCATGTGCAGAGCTCCAGCGCAGGTCGGGGGCAGACATCCGTCCTGGCTCCACGTGCTCCACGGATGGACAGCCCTGCGGGCGGCCTGCCTGGGCACGCACTCTCAGCATGTGGCTGAGGATGGTTTGTGAAATGATGCTTTCAGACATCACACGATTTAGCACCTTCACACAGAACACAAATTAGCAAATTTAGAGTTAGTTAAAGTACAATGAAGGGATAATAACCGACAGCACATTACTGTGGCTAGAGTCTTAGCTGGCTAGAGTCTTACTGTGGACAGTCTTAGCTATAACTGCACAGGACAACATATGCAACAGTGCACAGCTGTGCTAGTTTTAGCTGGAGTAGAATTAATTTTCTTCAAAGCAGCTGGTACGTGTATGGCTGTGTTTTGGGTTTGCTGGAAACAGTGTTGATAACACAGACATGTTTTAGCTATCACTGAGTAGTGCTCACACAGGGCCGGGCCTTTTCTGCTCCTCACCTCACCCCACTAGGGAGGAGGCTTGAGAGCACAAGTAACTGGGAGGGGACACTGCCAAGACATCTGATCCTAGCTAGCCACAGGGTGACATTCTCAGCATGTAAAGCTGGGGGAAGAAGGAGGAAGGTGGGTATGTTCAGAGTGATTGTGTTTGTCTTCCTAAGTCACCATTACATGTGATGGAGTCCTACTGTCCAGAGGAATGGCTGAACACCTGCCTGCTCAGGGAAGGTGGTGAAAGAATCCCTTTTTTTACTTTCCTTGTGCACACAGCTTTTGCTTTCCCTATTAAACTATTTCTATCTCAACCCATGAGTTCACTCACTCTTACTCCTCCAATCCTCTCTCCTGTCCCACTGTGGTGGAGTGAGTGAGTGGCTGCGTGGTGCTGAGTTGTCAGCTGGGGTTAAACAACAGGGAATGCTTCAAACCCAGTGTCTGCCAAACTGACAGTAGATCCATGTCTTTATGCTTTTTTTTGACTGGGCTTCTGCCTTCCCAAGTTGAGAACTCAGACTCTGTACTGTAAAGGGGATGGCACCCTGGTGAGCTTTGCTTTTTCATAGGTTATTTCTGTGGAAGTAAAATAAATGGGCTAACTTGGAATTTAGCTGGAGGAGTAGATGACCAGCAGTGCCTAGTGACTGGTGGATGGGAGGAATATAACAAGTTCACTTAGCACTGGTGCACTGAAAGAGACACATCATTACTGCTAAATAAGGCAAAGTAATATATGAAAATTAGGAAAGGCAATATCCTTTTGGCCCAAAAGTGCAGGCAGGACCTACACTAAAGCTATGCCTATGTTTGGTCAGCCTAGGAAGCCCCTACACTTTATTGATTGTATTTATTCTGTTCTGGTGTTTTGACTAATTCCTGTGACTACTGCAGATGCTAGTGACAACATACATGTGGACACTGTAGGAGTTATATCTGGAACTCATTCACAACCAAGCACCTGTTCCTGAACATAAATCCAAACTACATGTTTGAGAAAAGATAGTATGGTCCAGGAAGCAACACAGCCTCAACAGCTTGAAATGAACACCAGAGCTGAAATTTTCTCAAATGTGGCAGTGTGATCTACTTAGAGGTCTTTAACTGTGGAGAAGCATGTGACAGGACTGTGGAGCCAGAGACTGGCTGTTCTTTTCCCTACTGCTGACTGGTTTGTGGTTTGCCTTGGCTCAGGCAAACTTTTTTACATTGAGGAGACACCCACCGTGTGGCAAGTGTTGTCTGTGCCATCTGGGAGCAGAGTCTTGGTTATGCAGATTGTCAGCTCCTAACTGGCGTCTACTTGCCGGGAGGGTGGCTCCGGCTGTGGTGCTGGCAGATGAAGTCCAGTCCATCCAGTCTAAAACCCTGACTCTGTTCACAGAGCTGCCATGGCTGCTGACTTCATGGAGGAGACACTGGAGACAACAGTGTCTTCTGACCAGTATCTCTGGTCAGAAATTTTGAACTGCAATTCATCACCCCTGGTACTCTTTGAAAGACCACAAAAGTGGGTTTTGCTTTCTACATGTGACAAGAGGCCCTGTGTACACAGGATTTCTGACCCTGGGCACTGCTACAGTGCAGGTTACACAGGTGTTCCACTGTCCTCTACTTAAGCCAGTCAATTAAATGCTCACAGTTTTACCTGCCCATTTGCCCTTACTGGGTCCTTGTCTTTTTATTCTGCTCCTGAAATGAAGGCAATGGACCTGGGGGAATACTACTCACTCTTGCAGTGCGTTAGCCTGGGGATGAGGTGCATTGCAGGTATGCAGCCAGGGAAACTGGGGGAGGAACACCTGGCAGCTGATGGCTTGTGCGTCCCACGTGTGGACAACATCGGCTACAGCACTGTTTACGTTTGCCAGGGGCTCAGATGGCCTTCAGCTACAGGAAAGTGAGGCACCTCCTCTGAGACAGGTGCCCACAGCCCACAGATACAGACTTATGTTTAAGAGCTGGCAACTTCTTTCCTCTACATCCATCAGAAGAGAAGTAAGGCCAATGCTTTAGCAAAACACCTTCTTCCATGTAGATGCAAGCACCAGGTGAATACAATTCTGTGCCTCGGCTGTGGTAGACATACCACAACTCAGAGGCTGCCAGAAATCTGAGATTTAGGAGCTGGGCTTAAGTCACTGACTTCCCTATATTGCCTCTTTAGAAGAAGGAAATACCTCCAAATTCCTGAGGATATCCTGGGCTCAGTGGCTATGAAAGCAACCCTGGCTAAGGTCAACAAAGCAACAGAAGTATTAGAAGTTAGTATAGGCAGTAAATAAAGATGGTAGCTTTAATATTGTTAATTTACATTATTCTTCAATTTAAGCAAATTGTTCTTGACTTTTTATGCTGTCAGCAGTAGTTGTTTTTTGGGGGGATTTTTTGGGGGGGAGAGGGGGGAAGAAAGCCCTGGTACTGAAAAGTGAAGAAGAGAGAGTAGAAGAAACACAAGAGTTGTTTTTTTTTTTAATTTTTTTTGCCCACATTTGCTGCGTATCAGTGTATCTGCATTTCACTGTATACAGGGTAGTAAACTCCTTCTCCTTCTAATTATTGTTCATCGGGTGAATGCAAAAGTTGCATTCACAGGGAGTGAGTGAAACATAAATTCAAATGCTATGTAAATGTTATTTACTCGGCTGCAGAGCAGGGCTGAAGACTGGCAATGCAGAGACTGGGAGCTCTTTGGTGCTTACTGCTGACAGCTCCTGCTCTGTGCCACATTGCCATCACGACCAGAGACTCAGCTTACAGATATTCTCTTCTGCTGCCCCTGCAGAGAACACTGGCAAGTGGGCAAGGGTTTTGCATTCATTTGATGCAATGACACAGTCAGTGCGTTGGAGGAAGGATGAGCCTCTTCCCTTGCACAGTGCCTGGAGCAGCAGTGCCCTCGTCTGTAAGGAGCACTGCCAGCAGCCACCACTGCAGAGGCAGCAGCTCCAGCAGTGAAGTGCTTCCCTGCTTTCTTCACAAGCCTGACTGTTCGCACCCTCAGTATTCCTTGGTAAGCATGCAGTCTAGGGAATTGGAGCCATAATTAACAGAGGGATACCATCAGCCTTCGCTTCCAGTTTCTAATGAATTTTATTAGTAATAATTTGATTGTAAAGTATTTGAAGTACTGTGCTATATATAAACTAACTCTTCATTGGATTTGGAGCTCCATCTGCAATGTTTGGAATGTTAGCACCAAGCTCAGATGTGTGAAGAAGTCAGACCACTAGCCAGGCAGAAGGAGTTAGCTCTGCTCACTGGTTGGGACTGATTTGGAATCCACCCAAATGAACAAAACCTCCCTTGAAATGTCAGCAGATAAACAGGGACTAGAGAAAGGAGGATAAAGTCACAACACATGTTAGAGATTCCTACATGGAATACAAGACAGAGTGAGGACCTACTCTACTTTGCTCCCTGCTTTATAAAGCCAAATACATCCTCTGCTCAGTCAGTATAACCTTTTGCTCTTGACTTCAATGGGATCAGAGCATCACTTATGGTATGATTTATTGGGATATCAGTAGAAACCTGTGAAACAAATTTAGTGAGAAGTCAATATGCCTTAAAGTCTGTTCTCTAACTAGAGTAGGGCTGTTAAACAGTTACTGGGTTTATGGGTATTGTTTTTCCAAATGATAATCTGTTTGTAAGTAACTAACCTAAACTTAATTTTTTTTCTGTGTGATTGTTGTGCCCACTTCAGAAGGAGTGGGGAGTCTCTCACTGAGTTTATCACCCTGAGCATGCTTTCTCTTGTTAACTTCCAAAAACTTCCCTATGATATTCCAGGTCTAAAACTGGAATTCAGTGCCTCTGGCATGGTGTAAGGCTGGTTTGATGAGCCTGTCGCAGTGTGTGAGCCAGATGTCCCTGTGGTGGAGCAGATGGGGTGGGTGTGGAGAACTGCTGAGAGAGTCAAGGTGCAGGTGTGTCTGTCCTGGGTACACACTCTGTCTGAGGCACAAAGGAGCCAGAGACGGGGCACATCACTTTTGTGGTGTTACACTGTTAAAGAGAAATTTCTGGGCAAACCCTCACTTTAAAATTTATTTTTAAAAAAATCTGTTATTGTTCTACAGGATAATATAATGAAAAAAAAGCAAGTATCTGTTCCAGGTCAGATCAAAGGTTCACCTGGCCTGGTCACCAGAGTGTCTGAATAGCACTCACCAGCAGCTGTCTGGCGACCTGCAGGACCTATGTGCAGTGAGTGACATTTCATCTGAGCACTCCCCTGGTCTCCAATCCTTTTAATACTCCCGCAGAATGGTCTCCAAGGCAGAGCTGTAATGCTGCTGGGTTCCAGAAGGTGGTGGGCTAGGATCAGCATTTGACTCTATGAACCAGCAGGAGCAACTCTTGAGCAGAGTAGAGAGCACTTACATCGCTTTCCATTAAATCCTTTTAAGCACTGGAAGAAAAGTTTGTCTGTGGGGAACCAGTAATCTCTGACATTATGTAGTGCGTTAAGAATGCCTGAAAATTAATCAAGTCCCATTCCACATATCAAATAACAGTTCAGAGCATGACTAATCATCTATGAATGATAAGCTCTGAGAGC